CACACACACACACACACACACACACACACACACACACACACACAGACACACAGAGCCGGCCCTACCCAATAAGCGACATAAGCGGCTGCTTAGGGCCCCGCAGCCACTAGGGGCCCCATGGCAATTTCTTTTTGAGCATATCTGAATATTGTGAATATGTGTGTCCCCAAATTAATCCTTTAAATCCTGGTATTTTTTTATCTATTTATATATTCTATTTAGTTTTTGTGTTTTTATTAACCTCTTAAGCCCGGCGATCCCCCCATTGGACCCCTCCCACTTTTTTTTTTTTAGATAATGTCTCAGGGCTTCTTAAATTTATGAAACTATTAATGTGTAGCACCAGATTAACGGTAATAATCTCAGCTAACTGAAGATATGAACCATTTTTAGCTAAACGAAACACAAGAGTAATACCAAGCCTTAGAATTAGCATTTTGCGAAAAAATGCTAACTAATGCTAACGGAGTTTTGCACAGCACTCACTCTCAAAATGCCCTTATTACTTATCGTAACTGCACAAACAAGATATCCGATTAAAGCTGAGACTCCACATATTCCATACATGTAGTGTCATCACTGTACGACCCCGAATTTGCAGAGCTTTCAGCCAGAAAAGAGAAAGTAAACAACATCCGGTTTCAAAAATATTACAATAATTACATCTTACCTTTTTTGATTTGTGATCAAAAGTTGTGTTCAACGGAATAAAAACGCAGCTCAAGGTTAATCCAATGTGTCTGTGTCACGTAGAATTTTTTACTGATAATACATCATCATATTTATGGCAATAAACTGGGTATAAAGTTTTGCAGTCAAGGCTTGTACTTTCAGATGTGCTTCGTTTGCTTCTCTATTACCTCCGCAATGGTAATGTTTACGTAGATTTTGGAACTGCCCATCGGATTCTATTGGATCTAATGGTTAAGAAAAAGGTGTAAATCACTCAAATCGACCAATGGGTTCCATAGATATGGTCCTGCGTAAAGTATAAATTGTGAATGCCAGCGGCACACACACTACGCACCACACTCTACGCAGTGTTTAGTACGTAAACAAGAGGAATTGCAGCAGGACCCAGAGCGCAGAGCGGACAGCAGATAACGGAGCAGACTACAAGATTGGCGTTTAGGACTTTTGCTATACTTGCTATACTTGTAATAATGGCTTGCAGGAAAGAGATGCTTACGACTTTACAGGCAATGGAAATGGTGACTAATGCTGACAGCGATGCAGACATGTTACCTGTTGATTCTGAGTCAGACGACGAGGACCTCTTGCAGCCAGAACGGAACACGGAGCGTTGTGACTCTGATGATGAAATTCCACCACGGGAAAGGTATGTAATCTCTCTGTTTTTATCTATTACTTAGTTATTTGGTGTACGATTATTCATATAGTTAATAAATAATAATACAGCGCTATAATAAAACTATTATTTTCTGCCTTGCTCATGAGAGTAACAGCTGGCGAAATTACAGCCTCGCCTACTGATTTTAATTTAACCATATATCGAGCTCGATCGTCGATTTCAAATGTGTGCTCTAAAATGGTATTTATAAATGACTATTATCATTATTATAAGCAAGACAATAAATGGCAAAAATATGTAGAAAATAAACGTATTTAGTTGGAGTTTAGTTCTGTGGGAACATCATTTTTAGGAGACAGGGTTGGCCAGTGTTGAGATGAGGATGAAATGGCTCTATAGTCACTAGATGTATTGCATTCACACACTCAAAATGGCATGTTTACTGCCAAGGAAACAGGAATTACAGGAATTAATCTAATCTCTTTGTTTTTCCACATTTCTTTTCATAGTGATGGAGATGAGGATGCAATGGCTTCACCACTGCCTACTTTCACCCAGCCCACACCTGCCACACCTGCCTCACCATCACATTCCTCCAGAAAGAGATCTGCACCAGTATTGGCCACTCAGCCTGCATCCAAAAAGCACTCACTTACCATCGTCTGGTTTCTACCAGCTTTCTGCAGCGTCAGATGCATCTGTAAACCAAAGGAAGCGTGGCCGAGGTGGGGCTCCCGCTCCTCAGCCAGGAAAAGGAAAAGCATCAGATAAATGTGTAAAACGCAGGAAGCGTGGCCAAGGTTCTTCCTCTTCCAGAATGACAGAAGAAGAACTCGGGTGGCACAACAGAGAGGAGAATGACCAAACACCAGAGCCACTGAATTTCACACCAGCCAGGGTCCCAGGCCCAGCGCTCGACCCCACTGTAGCATGGTCTCCCCTCTCCATTTTCAGACTTTTTTTTAGCGTTTCAGTGGTTCATACAATCATTTCCAACACGAACGCCCCAGCTCTGTTTTATTACAGAACATAAAACCACAGTTTTACTACACCCTTGACTTTGTTCTGATATATGGTACTGAAATCAAGCCGTGTTCAAAGCTTCCTTCAAAACAAAAGCACAAATAACTTTTCTAATTTACTTAAATGACGATACATTTACACTAACAAAAAACAACAATAAAATGAACGTTTAAATATTACAAATCAATAAATAGCTCCAATTGATTATTTTAATAAGACTAATAGAGTAATTCTGACTGTTGGTATGCAGGGTTGTTTGTTTCAATATATGGATGACCACATTTCTGATACGAGGCCCATAGTGACCAAAGAATCCAGGAAACGTTAGTTATCTTTAATCTGGTACAAGATGGAAATTCTGCCTTCCAAATCAGATTTTCTTTAGGTCAGGTGGAGACAGCTGTCACATCCAGAGAGGAAGCATGACAGTGTCGGTGGTTAAAGCACAGGTCCAAAGACTGGGCTTGCTGCGATTGGCTAGCCTCTGGTAAGCAGGGTGGATAGACACTGTCCTCTGTCAGGCTTGGTTGTGTTAGTCACAATATATGTTCTTTGTCCCTGTCACCTGGCTGGCTGCCAGGCTTAAAACAGGTTTGGTAGTAGATTCTAGCACATTTCACTCCCATATGAACTCGTTGTTCACGTTCACAAATAAACTGGTATGCCTACCTGAGACGGTTGACAAGACAGCAGCAAAGTGTCTTATGTCCATTGTTGGGGGAGCTACTTACTCACGAAGTATTTCCCACTGTTAGTACATTTCTATTGCAATGCTCTCCTTGGCAGAAATCTGTTTTAGCTAACAAAAATACATACTAAAAATAATTCAACTACTTTATTAAAAATAAATTGACAATGTACAAAATTATAAAGAAATATAATACAAACACCACCAAACAGAACATCAAAAAAGTCACCACTGACCCAAATACAACACAAGAGACCTCTAAAATCATCAAATCCATGGGATTTATTACAATTAACATGTGAAATCCCAATGTCAGCAGTCCCAATGCCAGAGGCCTCCCTCTTCTGCTGCTGAACTGGAGCTTTTAACCTTTCTTCTCCAAGTGCACCTCATAATGCTCGTTGTAGCAGCAACGCAGCACACCTGGGTAGAGGAATTGGAGGGAAAAAGGAACAGGGAACACATACAGCCGTAACAGTCAGCAAAACTGGACCCAGCCTCAGTAGTACACTCGAACTTCAGATCAGTAGAGTCTCCGAGTACTGCAAGTAGCGCTTCAACAACAGTAGCAAAATCTAGGATGAACTTACTGTACCATGATCCAAGTACCAGGAAGGAACGTAGAGAGGAAGTGTCGTGCGGGGAAGGTGCATCAGCTACAGCGGTGACTCGATCGTTGTCAGGGTGAAGTCCATCTTTTGATGGCACAGAAAACGCAGATAATTCTGATTGAAACTACACTTTTGCATGTTCAGCTTTATGCCTGCTTCATTGAGGGCATGCAGCACTCTCCGTAGATTAGCATCATGATCCTGCTGGTTGCCACCATAGCATATCGCATCATCAAGGTAAGCCTGGACTCCTGGTAGGCCTGCTAGTATGGTTGACATCGTTTTTTGAAAGGCTGAAGCAAGGCCAAATGGAACTCTGCAGAAACGAAAAAGTCCACCATGTGTGATAAATGCAGTCAAATCACGGCAGTCTGGATGTAGCAGCGTCTGGTGATAAACAGAAGCTAGGTAAATTGTATAAAAGGCTGTGTAGCCCCTCGCAGGTTAGTGAACATTTCATCCATGTGTAGTAGGGGATGACAATCACTGACGATTGACTTATTTGGCTCCCTGAGATCCACATACATGAGAGGCTTTCCACCTTCTTTTCTATGATCCCCTTTTCCTTTAGATCTTTGAGCTCATCAGTCACAGCCTGCCTCACAGAGAATGGAAGTCTCCTCAGTTTCTGTTGTACTGGCACAGCATTTGGTTTGACTTGTATTTTTTGAACACGTCAAAAATATGCTTATTAGCAAAACGCTCTATCAGTTGATCATGAAGCGTTTGTTCCTCAAAGTCACCAAAGTCACTAATTAACTAATTTCCTCGTCGGGTCTCTGAGCTCTCTGGCGAAACTTGTGACGCTCTGCAATCACGTTGACACAACAGCATCCGAGCACAACTCCACACTTGGCATCAAAATATGTTTAAAATAAGCCTTGTTTCATTAAAAAGACTGTTTCGCCTCACAAAAAAAGGTCACAGCCACTTCAACGCAATTTCATTGACATTTCTGTTGATATTATTGATTTAGTTTAAAAGATAAAGAGACTGTCGTTGTATTTACAGCTGTTGCAAAAACTATGAAGCTTATTAACATCAGGTTTCAAACTAAAAGAGCTATACAAAAAGGTAACACAATTAAATATGTTTTGAATTTTATTTTAGTTATTAATTTGTATTTTTTTGTCCAAGAGATGCTGATTTGAAACTGCGGTTACCTATAGTTAGGCCTACGGCATTTCCTATTTCTACCGGAGAGAGGGGAGTTATTTCCAAAGCTTGCCGCTGTATTTAGTGAATCATAAGGCATTTGTAAAACCTGTTTAGTTTGTTTGTGGAGTTATGGCAGGAAATTAGCTCCATAAGGGAGCCTCATTTAGCTGCGAGTGTCACTCCGTCACGGAGTGGGAGTGGAGAGGGTGTGGTTTGGAATTGTGCCTGAAACTAAATATGGCTATGCAAAACGGAAAACTTGTTTAACAAGACACAGAAAGCAGGCTACTAGGAAAAAGCAGAAGAAAATCTAAAAGGGAAGCGTGTGTGGACAGAAGGTGAGGGGACAAGCAGGAAGAGATCAGGATGAAGGGACAGATCTCAAAGTCATTCATCACTTTGATGATCACTGTCCTTTGTTTGGGAAGCCTGCTGATCACTGCCCTCTGGATCATTGTTGACAACAGGTAAGCATTTAACTTCGTATGTGGGAAATGTATCTCACAGAAGAACCATGTCTATCTCTACTTCAATAGAATGATTCATCTCACAAAAATAATTATCAAAGATACTAGCAGATACGATTTGTAAATGGGAATGTTTACTACTGACTGATTTAAGAAAGCTCACTGAAGTGAGACTCAGTCAGACGTGTCATAGAAAGCAGTGACGTGTGGTGAGGTTCATGGCTGGTGAGGCACTGACTCACTGACTCAGATTTACAAATATTATATTTGGACCTTAATCGAAATATTCGGTTATTTTCAAAAGCTTTTTTAGTCTGATGCTTCGATTCATTTTAAACAGACCGTTCAACAAAAGGATACCCAAAATCTAAATATTGGATTGTTCTTTCTTAGGCCCCGCTCACACGGGACCGTTTGCGTTTATGCACAGTATGCGTATTCAAAAAAGTCTTCCGTTCACATGCATTAGTTTCATTTAACGTGTCTGTTCAAACGAGGCCGCTGGAAACGCTGTAGTACATATGCCGGGACTGTAAGTGGCGCTGTAACTTCCGCCAAAATACACCAAAAGTAGCGAAGAAGAGCAGCCCAGCAGCCCCCGCCGCAATGTTGCCATGGCTACCCTTCTGTTCATGGCCCGCGGTGTATTTAGCAACATGTAGTTCATGTAATTCTCCATGTCCACTTGTTGCTGATGGTTGTGGTAGAGGAGCTGTATATTTTTGCACTAATATCTGTAGCATGGTCAGTAGCAGTAGCACTAGCAGTAGCTACTGACAGGAGGAAGTGTGTGGCGATTGCTGGTATTCAGCTGGATATAGTCATTTCCTCAGCATATGGATAAATGCAACGGGGAAGTTAACTGAAAGAAACCGAATCTGTGGATATTGCATCGACCGACGTCTCCGTGGAGAGGACCCGCTCAGAAAAGAGAGATATTCTCTACAAACACCGGGTGAGATCCTCCTTTGTCAATATAATGGATCAATGCATGAAATCTGACTCTGTTTATTTTGTTTAAGGAGTATATTGGGCGTTAACTATTCTGGTTTGCCTTTTATAATATTATTTCATTCAAGAACCCCTTGTGCGTTTAATTAACACAGCTATTTTTGATAGTTGCTACAGCAGTGAGCAGGAGAGGTGGGGAGAGGTGGGGCTATCGCAATTTTTTCAGGAAATATTCGTATAGAGGTGATTACACGGACTCGGTTGACCCCCCAGAGCGTTTCGTTTGCAAATCTATCCACCTTGGGACCCGTTATCGTTTGTGGGGTCAGTTTCTATCGGCCTCGTGTAAATAATAGGGCTATACGCACGCGAAACTATGCAGATCCAAGCAGTTTTCTCCTCGTGTAAACGGCGCCTCAGTAAGATCCCATTTTCATTACAAATGTGGTCTTACCTTGACTTGAAGATGAAGTCCATGCTATCCTTCTGGACAACAATCTCTATTACTTTTTTGTAAAAGTCCTCCTTATCTTCCTGTAGTTTCAAAAGTCTAGTTTGTTGTTTGCGTCTACCGTCTCTGCGTAGAATTACAGTAGCAACAAGAACCTGTGGGCTCACGTGCGCCCCCTTCAGTGCGGCAGAGGTTATGGCTGCCTCCCCTGGTGCATTTTCATTGCCGTTGAGACCAGCGAGCCAAAATATCATATATACGTGAAATAAGTTATTTAGAGACTATGGATAGCGAGGATACATGTAATAAAGTGATCTACATACATTACATTGGTGACCTACAGTGAGATGGTAACAGGCATGCGCTTAGGGCCCGCTTTCCAGCCAGTTTCTGTGGGGTGACGCATTCTGAGGTGAGGCAGATCTCATCTGTGCCTCACCTCACCCCACAGTAACTGGCTTGAGCGCGCTCACAAAATAAGTGCCCGCGCTAAATTAGTGCCCGTGCTCCAGCAAGTTAAGCCCCTTACACACCAGGCAGTCACCAGAGAACTCGCCGACATCCAACACCGACAGATCCATCGACGAGTTCTCCTGCGTCTAGGCCGTGTGTCGCACTGAAATACACCGCTTTACTTCAGCCGAGCACGTACGAACTGCGCATGCGTGAGTGGCAATAAGTGCCCTTACCAGCAGGCGGTGGTAGTGTGTATTCGTCATTCAAAATAGGCAACAACCGGAAGAAAGAGAAGAAGAACAGACTGTGATATAAACAAACAGCAAATAGCGGGTGTGTTCCATTTTCAGTCTTGTCCATTGAAAACATGTATCGTGCGGCACTGGGGATATCAGCCATTGGAGTGTTGCTTGTGCAACACATTATCAAGAAACAGTATCTCAAGAGGCAGAAGCGACGAATTACGAGAAACCGCACTAAATGGGTGAAATCGTGGATACTGCAGCGAGAGGCTCATGGGACTTTCCCGAACCTGTGTCGAGAGCTGGAGTTACATGAAAAGCCAGATTTCCGAAATTTTGCTCGGCTTTTTCCTGTTCAGTTCCACATGGTGGAGGAACTCCTCACTCCAATCATCCAGAGGGAAAACACGAACTACCGGGATTGCATCTCCGTGGGGACACGTTTGATGGTTACGCTGCGATTTTTGGCAACAGGTATGCAAGCTAAAGATGTTGCTATATTTGAAATTGCAGCCAGCACTTTGTATATTATTGTATATTGTGCTTTAGTAGTAATACCGCAGTGTAATGTAGATGTACTAGTGTAAGTACAAAGCCAAAGTACCAAAGTACTGCTTGGTTGCTTGAGAAATTACCAAGGGATCAATAAAGCGTTATCATCTTCCTATAATAATGCATGTTAAAATATTTCATTATTATATGTTGTATCATTTGTCTGAATCTTCATAGTACTTAAAGTAATCAACTATCTTGTAAACTATAACCTGTAGTTTTGTAGCTAATGAGTGTTTTGTTCAGCTGCTTGTGTAGATAACTCAGTTATGTGTTTGTTAATATTTGCAGGGGAAAGCTTCAGGAGCCTTTCCTACCAGTTCAGAGTGGGAGTGTCAACCATCCGGCAATTCGTTCCAGAGACCTGTACAGCCATCTACGAGGTTTTAAAAGAGAAATACCTGAAGGTATGTGTGGATACTTACTAGTTTTACTGTGCAAACGGTATGTAATACAGTGAGGTCTGTAGGCATTTGAACAGCAAATGTTTGGTTTGCCATATGAAACATGGCTCTTAAAAAATATATGTTTTGTTTTTCAGTGCCCAGACACAGTGGAAGAGTGGCAGCAAGTAGCTGATGGATTCCAGGCTCAGTGGAACTTCCCAAACTGCCTAGGTGCCCTGGATGGGAAACACATCAACATCCGCCCCCCTCCAAGAACTGGATCAACCTACTACAACTACAAACATACATTTTCCATTGTGCTAATGGAATCATCAGTTTGATGATGAAGAAACCATCACGTCTGAAAGGCTACATGTGAATAGAGGGGCAGAAAACCGTCTTGGATATTTACATTTCAATCTTGAAGTACTTGACTCTTAGTCCTGCAACTTCATACTTATGCTCCACAACAGTTTGATGATGAAGAAACCATCACGTCTGAAAGGCTATATGTGAATAGAGGGGCAGAAAACCGTCTTGGATATTTACATTTCAATCTTGAACAAAGAACAGCGGTAGACAGTATGTGATGTACTTAGACACTGTACTTAAGGACAATGTTGAAGTACTTGAGACTAATCCTGCAACTTTAAGGCCCTGCTCCACTCCCATTCAGTGTACTTTATACTGCTCACTTAACTTTGAAGATTCTGAACACTACAAAATGTAATCAAGACATATTTTATCATGTATTATTATAGGTTAAGATAAAATGTTATTGATCCCATGGTGAATTTCCTAAGCTACCCAGCAGTATATGATGTAATTTAAATCAGCTCCTCCACTTCAGCTCTCTGAAGCAGAAATAAATCATTCTATGTTGTGTAATGGCTGTAGTATGAAGGTACGAAATAAAGTTTTGCAGTTTAGGTAGAAAGTGGTTTATTATCCAACAATATAATACAAAAAGTAAACTATCTACAAAAATACAATACAATAAAAAAGCTAGGCAATACAGAAAAGAAAATGTTATTGCCACAACTGTCTGTACAAAGAATTAGACATTTTAAAATGAACTTTACAAAAAAAAACTGTGTTTAGACAACACAGTTAAATGTCTAGAGATTTCTGTATGTAGTCGAGGTTTGAGTTCCCTCTAAGTGCTGGAAGAAGACATTTTCCACGGTATTCAGGAAGGGTCGAATCTCATGAGGTGCCAACATCCGCAGTCTGTGCTCAAACACTTGGGCATGGGCCGTGAATACGTCATTCACTCTACTCGGGGCCAAGTGTGCCAGAGTGTTGGTGATACCATGCAGCAATGTTTGTGATTGGTCGGCGATGGACTCATCCCGCAAATCCTGCAGCATCCTGCGCTTCGCCGGAGTCATTCTACTGCTGGGTGTGCTTGGCCTCTCTCCGAGCGGTGACGGTGAGGGTGCCGGCGCCGGTGTGTTGAAGATGGTGGATTCTGCCAGGGGAGTGCAGGGCTCAGCATCAGTGTGGCAGGACTCCTCAGTGGTGCTGGACATGCATGTTTCACTGCTGGTGCCACCGAGGGGTGATTCTGCAGCCTCCGGACCTTCCTTAAAAAATGTTAAATAAATTCACAGTTAGTTGGATTTAATACCATGGATTCTTAAAACTGTTTACTAAGCATTCATAACAACACAATACCCTGAAATGTGTGTGCCATTAGTTCGGGGTGTGGTCAAGTGTGAGAGGCACATTGTAGAAACATTGTGATGGCTCTATTCAGATGCTAAAACGTACTTCTAGAAGATTCAGAACACTACAAAATATAATCAAGACATATTTTATCATGTATTATTATTATTATAGGTTAAGATAAAAGCATTATTGATCCCATGGTGAATTTCATAAGCTACCCAGCAGTATATAATGTAATTTAAATTAGCTCCTCCTTTACCAGCTGCAACATTAAGGTGATGATCACATCAATAATTATAATACAATAATATATATATTATTCTGTTATTGTTATATTTACCACTGTAACCACCACATGAATGCAAATAATGTTTTTGTAATTGAAAGAAGCAAGAAACACGTATTTGTACTCAACAAATAAAATACAAGTAGCAACAGCTACCAACAAGATAACAACAAAACACAAGGTTGAAATAACAAATTACATTTCACGTACGCTGGCAAAGAATAAAAAACCAACAGTTTCTGCTCAAGAGCTCAATTGATGAAAAAAGATAATCTTACCTGAGAAACCAAGTTGCGATTCTATCTCTCGCCAGAGTCCCGTTTTAACGATTCGATTTGAGTATTTAGCCTCTGTAATATCATACAGAGCTGGCCTCTCCTGAATGAAATTGACGAACAGGTCTTCGATTGCTTCATTCCAGATCGCCATGATGATCAATACACCGATGAGATGAAAATGAATAGCCATCTGTGTGTGTGTGCCTTCTTCAATCATTTGTTTACGTCCCTCACTTCCGTTTCGCTTCTCATTCGCTAGCTGAACAGCCAATCAGAGTGCTTTCTTGGCCCGATAGCTTGTGGTCGACAGCCGGCCGATTCAACATGTTGAATCGGCCGGGTGTCGATCGTGAAAGGCCAAATAAGGCGTGTCACGGCCGAGGGTTCGGGACACACCAAATTGACAAGGAACCCGTTTTCGCCCAACAACGCCCAACACGGCAATACGGCCGATATCGGCCTGGTGTGTAGGGGCCTTTACTGTGGGCTTACGAGAGGCAGAGCTCGTCCCTGCCTCACTTCTCATCGCTCCCGTAGCGGAGCTCGGCAAATTTGCTGATTTTGACTATAAAAAGCGATTGGAATCATAAATAAATCACACTTACAACACAGATCAGTGGAGACATTTTATTATTATTACTATTTAGTTTTTCTTTTGTTGTTTTTCCGTTACATTGGAGTATGACAGGTGAGGCTCTGCCTCCCCTGCCTCCCCTGACTGCACGTCGCTGATAGAAAGCCAGAACAGTATAACATTCCAAATAATCAGCTAACCAATCTTTAAAAGGCCAATTACAAAATACATTGGATTGAGCATCTCATATAGCATGGATGAAATATCAAGGGCAAAAGATGTGTACAGGATGGACACTATAATTAATGAAAACTCATAAGGATGCACTTATTTGTCCTATAGCAAAACATTTCAATTGATCCATAAATGAATGTGTGTTTCCAAGTGCCTAGAAAACGGCAATAATCACTCCAGTTTTTAAATCAGGTGACACTAGTGTCATTAGTAACTATAGACCAATTTGTATACCCCCAGCTGTATCAAGAATTGCAGAAAGAAAGAACTCCGAACAAATGATATCCCATTTGAACACTACTTCATTCTCATTGCATCCCATGCAATTCGGTTTTCGAAAATATAATTCAACTGAAACTGCTAACTGTTTTCTTCTGGAAAAGATGAATTCTAAACCCACTGGATAAACCAAGGTTACAAGGTTCTTGTATTTTGTTTGTTAATAATAATTTATTATTTATTTAGTTATTTTATAGTATATTTTAATTTAATGGTCAACTTTTAAGAACAAAGCTCATTGGTTCATAACGCAATCATGATTGCAGTTGGACTAAAATCCGCCAAGTCCCGCCTCCTCACTCAGTTTAGTGAGGGCACGTTGAAGACGTGTGTGTGAGGGAGCAGCGTCACGCTGGAAGAACGGAGACACTTGTGATCATTATATGCACAAAACAGCGCAAATTAAGAGTTTTACCGGGACGGCGGTGGACCAATCTCTGGGGCTGTCGTTGGAGGTTGGAGCTGCTTTGGAAAGCGGGAGTTTTGATTGTTATTTTATTTTCCTCGGCTGGGTTTTTATGATACCCTTGGATAAGAAGATTCTGGATTTTCTGGATTCTGGATTGTGGACTCTGGATTTTCTCCCTGACGAGGGGGATGGCGAGCTACCAATGATAACCTGAACACCTCATCTTTGCGCTACCAGTGCTAGGATTTTGAGAGGACCTTACAGGGACTGAACAAAGAACTATTTTCTTTTGGGGTTTCTTTTTATTTTATTTGGGGTGCACCCAAGTGTCAAGCGCTTTAAAAACAATTGGAATTATTTAGAAGAATGTTGTTTATTCCTGTGCCAATATATATATATTTTTTTCTTTATGAAATCTCAGTATTCACTTCATTCACTCTGGTGTTCGACTTCATTTATTACCCATCCTTTAAGAACCTGGAATACTGGTCCAGTTTTCACACACCTGACAGACTGGTTACATGTACAAGGGGAGGTGTGGTAGGGGCTAGGGGTGTTGAAATTAATCGTTTCTACGATGCATCGCGATGCGGACGTGGACGATTCTGCATCGATGCAGTGACAGAACATAATCGATTATAGCGTAATAACGTTGCTTCCTGATTTTTTCGGTCGCAGCTGGACAATAACGTTTTTTCACACGAATATCAAATCGGTCTGTGACGCAGAGATCAGGGTACAAAAGTGACAGCGGCACAGCGACACAAAACACGGAGCAGTCTGCTTTATCCACCAACACCAGTCCAGAACCAACAGCAGAATGACCCGCTCTGAATCAGTCCAGAACCAACAGCAGAATGACCCGCTCTGAATCAGTCCAGAACCAACAGCAGAATGACCCGGTCTGAATCAGTCCGGAACCAACAGCAGAATAATGACCCGCTCTGAATCAGTCCAAAACCAACAGCAGAATGACCCGCTCTGAATCAGTCTAGAACCAACAGCAGAATGACCCGCTCTGAATCAGTCCAAAACCAACAGCAGAATGACCCGCTCTGAATCAGTCTAGAACCAACAGCAGAATGACCCGCTCTGAATCAGTCCAGAACCAACAGCAGAATGACCCGCTCTGAATCTGTCCAGAACCAACAGCAGAATGACCCGGTCTGAATCAGTCCGGAACCAACAGCAGAATAATGACCCGCTCTGAATCAGTCCAAAACCAACAGCAGAATGACCCGCTCTGAATCAGTCCAGAACCAACAGCAGAATGACCCGCTCTGAATCAGTCTGGTTTAGAGACACACATGGATTTATGTTTTTGAAAAAACACTCGTTATCGTCATGTCAGGTTTTTGGTGGATTTAAACAAGTCATGGATTGCAGAGTATGAACGTCCTGTTGCTATTTTCTGACGATAAATACGTGTGTAAAGTTTGTGAAGACAGGAGGAAAGCTTCCGCGATCACCGTCTCCTCTCTGTTCCTCCAAACCCCGCCCCCTCCCTGAAAATAATGAGTGACAGGCTGATAGTAACCTGATAGAAACTTTATTATTCACTTAAAGGAGAGGTGTCATGGCCATTTCCACTGATCATAATTCCATTGTTGAGGTCTACTAGAATAGATTTATATTGTGCATTTTTCCAAACTCACATTGGTTTCTCATACAGCATCTCTGTAAACTACTTGTATTCACTGAATTTCACTCTCTGTCTTTAACGGCTCGTTGTAGCTCCAATAGCTCCAGCCCCCACCCTCCCTGTGAGCACAGTGTGCTCTGATTGGTCGGGACGTTGTGAATCGAGCTGAGCTCCGTGGAGGTGTTGTTTCCTTGTTAGCGATACATAGCGAAACACAGCCAAACTCATCCTGAGCACACACAAACTCACAGCCGAAGTAAAAACAATAAGTGTGGCTTGATATTGAGTAAGAAAAAGGTTGATAAACGCTGTGAGAATGGGTCTGCAGAGAGAATTTTGCCACGATCCCAACTGTCTGTTATCAACCTGCAGCCAGGGAGGAGAAATCAGCAGAGCTGCCTGCTCCCTGCACATAGATGTGTGTGTGAGGAAGTCCGTGGATTGGTCAATTTGGACCAATCAGCGGGGGATTAGCGTAACGGCTCCGCGGACGTAATGTAACGGCTCCACGGATTGGTCCATTTCGTTCCGGGTACGGCTTGACATCATGCCGTACCCGGAAGAATCAAATGGACAATGACGTATCTCCAACGAGGCGTTTTGGGGAGGTATTTTCTGTGTTAGAGTTTTACTCGCTATAGGGTGTACTTTGAGGGTTTTGACTCTGCACACCGTTTACATGCATAAAAACCTTCATAACACACAAGGGGACGGGTAATAACCGGAAAAGCATGACACCTCTCCTTTAAACAAATGTTGATCTCCTCAGTGGCGACTCGTCATTAGGGGCAGGTGGCACAGCCCCACCTAGTGTCAGCAGAAAGTAATTAAAATAATAATTCAAAAATATGCAAAAAATATATATCTTAAAATATATTTTAAGATCATGTTTAGTCATCTGATTAATTAGTGTCTACAGTGTACCTATTGAGCCATGTAGAGCGATGTGGGGCAAGCCCCGATCTAGCCCCTCTCTCGCTGTCAAAATGAATGGGTGCTGTAAAAACTACACTGCGCATGCTCATAGTCTTTTTGTATTCAATGTGTGCGGCAAAATAATTATCACAAGTGGGGCAAAGTGCTGGCAACCCCACCAAAACATCATCTCATAATTCAGAGAGCTGATTGGCTGTAAGTACGTGTGCCGCGAAAAGTGTAGTTGTGAAGAGGAGACGAGAGAAAGAGCAGCGTATAGCGATTAAAATCAGTAAATGGAAAGAAACTGAATGAAGTTGACCATCTACTTCAGCTTTGGTAAGTTCATTTTATGTCATATATTTTGAAGGGCTGTCAGTCGATTAAAATATTTTTAATAATCGCAAATTAATCGCACATTTTTTATCTGTTCTAAATTTACCTTAGAGGAATATTTTTCAAGTTTTTAATACTCTTATCAACATATGAGTGGACAAATATGCTTTATGCAAATGTTTGTTTATTATCATTGGAACAATGACAAATATTCTCCTGAATATTCTCAACACAACAACCTCTGAAGAATGACAAATATTCTCCTGAATATTTTCAATACAACAACCTGGAACCTCTCTCTCTCTCTTACACTCTCTCCCAACCCTGTCTACTTCTTTGCACTGAGCCAGTTGCTCAAACAGACAAGCCTGTTTACAGTTGTCGGCGAAATGCCGCTCCTCTGTCTTCATCTTCAGTCAAAGCAGACTGAATAAAAATAATATTGCGCTGTGATGTGCTGTCGACACGTTGGATGCGATCCGAATTATCTAACGCAGCCCCTCGTCCTCCACAATGTTAAGCTGTAGCCACCCATTTAGCTATCGCTGTTGAAAGCTTGCTGCTCGTAGACGCTGTGTCCAGGCGTCTCCCCGGCAAACTTTCAAGCTTGGTCTGACTGCCACAAGCGAGCAAAAAAACACTACAGTGTTTTTTTTCAGTAGAAGCTGCTGGGACTCCCAGCAGCTTCTACTGAAGCCTTCCGAGTAAATCGCCAGAACGCCGACACTCCTCATCTCCACCGCTCCCATGTTTTATTTTGTGTTGCCATAAGTTAGTCTCTCTGCGTTTGTGCACTGGGCGAATGCTAATGCTAATAATGCTAATGCCAGGATAATAAAATGGCGGCTCTACAAAACATTTCAGAGTTGAACTGGGGCACTTTTTTCCCCCAGGAAAGTACCATCTCTCAGCAGGCACTAAAAATGGGGGTAAAAGTTCCCGAGATTAAGTGCTCTTTTTGGTGTGAACGCGACATAAGGGGTACTAACGGAACTAAACGCGAAAAGTATGGTGAAAAGTACTCCGGTGTGAACGCGGCTAGTGGCAGTGGGTGCCCGTGCACCTGCCTTTTACAGCGGGAGCACGAGCTCGCCTCGGGGAGGGAGAGAAGAGAGAAGCAGAGGCTGCCGAAACTTAGGAGTAAGTGATTGAAACTTGGGCAAAAGTGGTGTAAATACAGGCAGAGTTTACCCAGAGAGCAGCATGCAGCACTTGTCTTTTCAACCCAGGAATAAGTGATTGAATCAAGGGGAAAGTTGGTGTAAATACAGGCAGAGTTTACCCAGACAGCAGCATGCAGCACCTGTCTTTTCAACCCAGGAATAAGTGTCTGAATCCTGGGTAGAGAGCAGCATGCAGCACCTGGCTTTGCAACCCAGGAATAAGTGTTGAAACGTCGGGGGAAAGTGCTGTAAATAGAGACAGAGTGTACCCAGACAGCAGCATGCAGCACATGTCTTTTCAACCCTGGAATAAGTGTTGAAACGTCGGGGAAAGTTGGTGTAAATACAGGCAGAGTTTACCCAGACAGCAGCATGCAGCACCTGTCTTTTCAACCCAGGAATAAGTGTTGAAACGTCGGGAAAAGTGGTGTAAATGGAGACAGAGTGTACCCAGACAGCAGCATGCAGCACCTGTCTTTTCAACCCAGGAATAAGTGTTGAAACGTCGGGAAAAGTGGTGTAAATGGAGACAGAGTGTACCCAGACAGCAGCATGCATTACCTGGCTTTAAGGTTCAAACGTAAACATTCAGCGACGTGACTGCGCTTCCGAGCCGCTCCGATTACAACCGAGCCGCTCTGATTACAACGAGAGTTAGAACGAGAACGTGACGTCATATTTACACTAGACGGAACCTTTCTAGCCATAACCAGCCTCCAGAGCAAGTCGGACAAAATGACTAACCATCATGCAACGCACTAGGAAGACGGCGATCGCAATTGCGCAGGTCTGCGTCGGTCTCGCTCATCTCAAACAAGCCTGAAAATTAGCCTCTATGGCTAAATATGGCACATGCACATGATGGATTTAAGTGCTCATGTTAATTAATGTGCATTTTCCGTTTCTTAACAAAAAAAAGTATTGTATAACTATAAAATCAAGCAGGGGAAAACAAACCAACTGAGAAATGTGCTCTATTGCTGTCTGCATCACCTACACACACACACACACACACACACACACACACACACACACACACACACACACACACACACACACACACACACACACACACACACACACACACACACACACACACACACACACACACACACACACACACACACACACACACACACACACACACATGTTCATATTGTCATGGGGGAGGATCGATCGATCGATCGCTGAAGAGCAATAAATAACATTGGCATCAGAACTTTAATCGCCTGTCTAATTTCTTTCATGTTTGCTTCACAGCAAGATGGATACTCATGGACCACCTTCACCCAAGAAAAACACCCGATGGCCCTCTGACCTTTGCAAAGGATGCAGGTGAGAGCAAACACGTCCATGCTTTTCCTTGAAGGGACCTTTCTGTTAATGCCTTCATCAGATCAAGTCATGTTATCGCGACATGGGCGATGCACCTGACTGTGTGTGTGTGTGTGTGTGTGTGTGTGTGTGTGTGTGTGTGTGTGTGTGTGTGTGTGTGTGTGTGTGTGTGTGTGTGTGTGTGTGTGTGTGTGTGTGTGTGTGTGTGTGTGTGTGTGTGTGTGTGTGTGTGTGTGTGTGTGTGTGTGTGTGTTACAGGGCGCTCATCGAAAAAGTAAGAGGCAGCTACTCAAAAACTTGGAAGAAGCAAGAGGGCAATTCCAAAAAACTCAGGTAATTCATTTTAATATGTGTTTATTTTTATTTATTTTAAAGTAAAGCTTAAATGCAAATCATTGTCCATGCAGAACAAGTAAGGAATATTTTAAACATTGTCACAGTCTGGGGATGACAGTATAAGTATAATACGTATAATTTAAAAGGTAATTAAAAGATATGGTACAAAGAATTGCAACTGAATCCATTTGCTTTCACCCGATAATCTTAACAAAATATGCAGCACAAGTCAGATGCCCATGGTCCAAATAATGACAGTATCTGTTGTTAACCGCATTTCAAACACATGGTCTAAATAATAGACATTTTAAAGTTGTGTTTGGTTTAACAGAGGGACTTCACTGGAAGACAAATTTCACTCAACTCAGTAGAATTGCCTATAACTGTATTTTTTTTAGATTAAAGTTTACGGTTTTAAACAAAGTCCTTGTAATCTCCCAGCTCTCAGCTGAGAAGCCAGTGCCATGGTTTTGACAAGGCCATCATTACCCAGGCCAACACTCCAGTGGGATCAAAGATTATGTTCTCTCTTGAAGGGAGAAAGACCCTACAAGTGACCCCGGAGATTTTCAGCACCTTTTCAAAGGTATGTTGTTACTCATGTGTGAAAATTAACACTACATTTGCTAACATATACACTTACAAAAACCACACTTTTGCACCAAATGGCACACACTTCATTTATAGCACAAGACATTTTGTCCAACCAACTACACACAACGTTGAGGAAAAATAAATACAAAAAATATTTTACAAAGGAAGAGGAAAGAAAAGTGCTTAGGTTGCATCTCGCCACCTCACTGGGTCTGGCCACGGCTCCTCATCAACCTGCAGAAGAACAAGCACCTATAAGCCTGATGGTCATACAGCTTCAACCATTTGCTGCAAATAACTCTACAATTGACTTCAATTCATCCTCCCTCTACCTCTTATCCTCCCTCTACCTCTTCCTATTGCTGCTATCCATATCCATTGTTGTTGTAAAAATGTGTAGCCATTTTTCTAGTGCTTGCATCCTGAATGATGAGTCAACAATTAAGCTGTTTGGTGTTTGTTCATTTGGCATGTGTATTTGTTTATTGGTTCCTGTGTGTAGTATTTTTAATGGCAGTGTTTGGAAAATGGCACACAAGTGAATATGTCAGATGTCTGTGTCTTACTTAGAGAACCGTGTGCAGTGTTTTATAAAAAGTGCCAAGTTCAACTGCAAATTGGGTGCATAGCTGAAAATGTGTTTAGAGTTTTGGAGATTTGAGCTGAGGTTTTGCTCTTTGAGTGTTATTTATGTGTCATTTTAGTGTGTTAGCAACTGAAAATAACTGTAATAGGAGGATGTTTTTTTATGTTGTGAAATTCTCCACATCTATCTTTCACCTTCTTTAGGATTTAAGTTACATTTAGAGATTTAGAGATTTAGGTCCAACCACTGGATTTGATAGATGTTCTGGACAGGATTGAAGAGAGTTCTTTTTACACTATAATGTGTATTGGTCAGTCTCAGGTGATGATGGGCAGCCTCACAGCCTAAATGTCCACTAGTGTGTCATTGCCATCCAGTCTCCCTTGTGTTTAATTGAGACACAATAGTCAGAAAAAAGGAATTAAAAACAGGTTTGAAGACGGGGAAAAAAGTATCTAATTGTACCTGATAACTGTTCAATTATATTATGGCATTTAAGAATGTCCTTTAACCAATCCAGGGCCGCTGAGAAATGTAGGGTGAATGGGAGGTGCTTTCTGTCCAACGTGCAGGAAATGTGCTCCGTCCCATATTTTTGGTGCCCCATCACTTAGGCTGAGGATGTGGTTGTTGCAGTGTGCTTGGGTGTTCCAACAATCGTTTATTATATTTATTATAAAATTCACTTCATTAATACATTATATCAGTTTACATTTTGAGTCATCCTAATGTGTGTTGTCGGTGGTTAAAGAAAAATACAAAATAATTTCACAGGTTTAATGAGATCAATGGTTCAGGATGGGTATAACGAGAGGCTAAACCGCTTGTTTTTATACAGAATCTTATTATCAGTATAAATGTTTCTTGTATTGTGATGCATTTTTGATTGGTGTTAATTCCAGGAAAATCTGTTTCAAAATAAAACATTGGACACGTGTGCTGTTGTTGGGAACTCAGGGATTCTGAGCAAAAGCAGCTGTGGAGAGATGATCGATTCAGCTCAGTTTGTTATCAGGTGAGAACGTTGTCAAGATTAGTGGACTGAAAGGCTGATGGTGGTATTGATTGACAGAATTAAACTTTTCAGGTGCAACTTGCCTGCTTTGGGAAAAGGCTATGAAAAAGATGTTGGCATCAAGACTGACATTGTGACAGCAAACCCATCCATCATATGGAAAAAGTAAGCAATTGGATAAAACTCATTGAACCTTAAATGTTCCCCTCTGTGTTGCTGCTGGACGTCTGCTTTTTATTTTCAGTTTCGGGGATCTAGAAAGGCGTCGGCGTCCATTTGTTGAGAGTCTGCGTATCTACGGCAACTCCCGTCTGCTTCTTCCTGCCTTCACCTTTGCTCGTGACGTTCCTAGAAGCCTGCGAGCCGTATACACTGCTGAGGACTTTGAAAGTCCTATGCGGCCTGTCTTCTTAAACCCTGACTACATAAGAAGTCTGACCCTCTTCTGGAGCTCCCGAGGCCAGCGCAAAGGTGCTCTCAGCAGCGGCCTTAAGATGGTTAGCCTAGCACTCGAACACTGTGCCAACGTGCATCTGTACGGGTTCTGGCCCTTCACTATCCACCCATTTGAATTCAATGCCGTGAATAACCACTACTTCGATAACGGCACAGCTAGCTGGTTACTCCACGCCATGCCAGATGAGTTTGACCTATGGTTGAAGATGCACAGTCAAGGGGTGCTCAGGCTTCATCTGGGAAAGTGTCAACCGGGTACAAATTAGTTCCCTGAACCACAGACAACTGACACGGGAGTGGCAAAGTGTTGTGTTTGCAGTGTTAGAAACTTTGAAAACATACATTTGCAAGCTATTTTTTGTTTTGTTTAGCTATAGCAAAGCTACCCTTAACCTGCAGCTTTTTAGACAGTATGAACTTGTCAAAGCAGAATGAAAGGGGTTGAGTTACAGTAGTGAATCAATGTTGAATTAATTGACAAAAACTAAAAATGACTTTGTTTTATGGCAAAACAAGTTTGTTGCTTTGGGAGTTAGCTAATCAAAACATGGCAAAAAAAAGGAATGTCACTATATGAATGTTAAAGTTTTTTTCAATTGCTAAAACACGTTTTTTTAAAGCAGGGCTTATTTTCTCAAAACACTAAACACAATTCACAAAACCACACACCCAAAGTGCAAAACACCTATATCTTGCAAAATGAAGCACTGCACCCAAAACTACATAAACACTTACCAAAAGCAAACTTTTGTGGTGCTCTGTATGTAGATAATTATGCATATAAAGATTGTTCAAGTCTACAAAAATATGTGCAAATCACAAATATGGGGCGAAGCCTGCGAGCTAGTTCAGGCAGTCAACTCGAGCACCAATGATACATTAACACGTGACGCACCTCGTCCCTCTTACAACCAACCAAACCCATTCTCCTAAACATGCTGCTCTATTTACAGTTTTTCTCGATTGCTAACACACATTTTTTTTTAAATTGCTCAGTTTCTCAGAACACTAAACACAATTCACAAAACCCCACAACCAAAGTGCAAAACACCTCATTTCTTCTGCTAAATGAAGAACTGCACTCAAAACTACATAAACACTTACCCAATGCAAACTTTAGCACCAAATATAACACACTTCATTCATAATACTAGATTGTTTGACCACCCAACTACACACTGCTGAGCATAATCTAAAGCACGTTCATCTTTTATGGGCTATGCTCTGTACATAGAGGTTTCTGCAGAGAAAGATTGCTTGAGTTTACAGAAATACAGTAAATTAAGAAATACAAATGAGTTGTCACATTTTATTCAAAACTAACATTGTGCAACATGCATCTCAGCACATAGTTACTATGCTGCGGATCTCTCTAAGTGTGATGCATTGTTTGCCAAAACCAAGTTTGTAACTGCTGCTTCCTGTGCCTCATTGAAAATCCTCAGCTTTCCACCTGCACCTCTTTGTTTCTCAGTCCTTCAGATAAACAACAAAGATATACTTATAGTGGTTGGTCAGTGTCTGTGTTGCATAAAAGTAAGTCTACCACAGTCAATTGTGCAGGATTTTTGTACAGTTATAGTATGCAACATGCCAACAATTCAATTACAGAAATGAAGTAAATACGTTTCACACAACAGATATAAGCACTGATATATCATGAATTATGCAGAGCTAAAAACTGGTAACCTGTTTTCAAGTCTAAGTGTCCGGATTACAGAGGCAACAGTACATCGGTTTAGATTAGGCTGAACCCTCTGTCCAACCTCTCTCATCGTCAAACCATGGTTGATAACATTTCATTTCATTAGAGAGTATTCTTCTTTGTCCACGTCCTCTCCCTCCAGCTCTACCTCTACCTCTCATTCTTCCTCCTCTCACTCTCACCCACATCTTCCTCCTCTCACTCTCAGCCCAGCTCTTCCTCTTCCTCTTCCTCTTGCTTGCATGTTGGCTTCCATTGTTGCTGTAAGAAAGTACTCACCTGTGGTCTTTTTATAGTGCTAACATCCTGATTGATGAGCCAACAATTATGCTATCAGGTGTTTGGTCAGGTGGAACGTGTTTCTTGATCATTGGTCCATGTGTGAGGCATTTTGAATATCAGTGTTTTAAACCAGCTAACACGTGACTTTACATGTATGTCAGATTCCTGTGTCTTACGTAGAGAAACGTGTGCAGTGGTTTGCAAAAAGTGCCATGTTGATTTGCAAATTGTGTGAAAAGCTGAAAACCTGTTTAGAGTTTTGGAGATTTGAGCTGATGTTTTGCTCTTTGAGTGTCAGTTAAAATAATTGTGCTTTATGTATAATTTGAGTGTGTTAGCAATCGAGAAAACTGTATTGTATTTGACAGAGGCATCATTGTTGTTTACACAACTTTAACTATGTGTTGTGCATGAATGTTGCACCAATTTGTTTTGGAGAAAAATAAAAGTATAACAGTATATTTGTGTTTCTGCACATATCTTTGTAGACTTGGACAATCTTTTTATGCAGAATTCTCTACATACAGATCACCATAAAAGATGAGTGTGTTTTAGATTGAGCACCACAGTGTGTAGTGTGCATTTGGTGCAAAAGTTTGGTTTTAGTAAGTGTTTATGTAGTTTTGGGTGCAGTGCTTCATTTTGCAAGATATATGAGGTGTTTTGCACTTTGGGTGTGTGGTTTTGTGAATTGTATTTAGTGTTTTTCAAAAAATTCGTTTTAGCAATTGAAAAAAACTGTAAGGTAGAGAATCCACATTACATTGGTTTAAAACCAAATAATTCCTTTGTTTTATGGGCCAAAACAGTTTGCTGTTAGGAATGTAACTTCTTGAATCAAAATGCTAATCTGAATGTAGTTGAACTAAATGTGGATCACACCTCCCCCCTACATTGCTTGTTTGAAGTCCAGTCGAATCAAGAAAATGTTTATTATGTTTTTTCAATGAATTGATGGATCTATTTTTGCAAAGTTGAGTAGTTGAGTCCACAACTATCTAATGTCATGAATCAAGTTTGCCCAAGCAAGATGGACCTACAGTGAATAATGAGTTAGCGCTTGTGGATATTGTCTCGTGTTACTGGGAGAATTGCAATTGATACTTAAATAAACTCTCAGTAATAATTGTTGTCACTCAGAAAAATAATAAATAAACCGTAGATGATCTAATGGTTTAGGGATTAGGTGATATCGTTTTTTGTGAGCATCCTTTAGTTGAGGGTGAACATTTTGTCAAAGTGAATGATCAGTATTTATCAGAAAAAGTTATTTGTTTGAAATTAGTGTTCAAAGAAACGTTTTTTCCCACACGTCTTGATTTCCAAATATCATGTAATGCAGTCTTTCTTTACAAACTGCCCATAAACACCATACAGTCGACTGATTTAATAGCATAGTTTTGGAGAACAATTAACTTGTGATATCCGTGGCATATCACATTACTCCACCTTTTAATTCACCAAGTTTCTCTTTTGTGGTCTGCTGCAGGTCATCCCAAGTGGACCAGATAGGCAAATATCTTGATGTTTTCACAGATTTTCTGAAAATCTTACTAGAGAAGCCTTAAGAAGCACGCGTTGCACTATTCCTCTTTCCCTGTTAACAAAATCCTTATGGTAGCCAGTGCATTGTTTCTAAAAATATAATTAGTGTTAGTACATCCGGCCATTTAGGCCTTCCCTCTTTACAAGCTGAATTTCAACTGTCACTGAATAATGTGCTCAAGTAACAAATATAAAGACACAGCTGACATGAGCTGAAGTGGCATCTCTTCAGTCTCCTGTGTTGTTCCTGCCAGTGACACAACGTCAGCCTTACAGGACCAATACCTTTCAGGAGTCGGAAGGCTGACATCTTTGTTCTCCGCTGGGGAGCTCAAACAAAGGATGCTGGGACTTTATTTGGTATGCATTTCGGATTTATTTTTGTAAGAAAATAGGTATTTTCACATGCAAATGTGTTCATCAAAGATTCTGAAAAAAAAGATTTCCCAGTGGATACCAGAATAGTACATAAAGAAATACACAGTTTACAAAAGGCATAGAAAAACACAAACACACAAATGCATGTAAGAATTAGTTTGTACTGGTAATACAACTAGATTTATTGCAACAGCCCACATGGGTGACTATAAGAAACATGTAGGGAAACACTAGTCCTTTTTTTCTGAACACAGACATTATTTTACATAGACAGTCAGATGCTGAGGTTGGACATTATGGTATCCCTGATAAATAGAACCACAAATTACTTCTGATACAATAACATTGTGACATTATTTCCCTTATAACTCCTTCAGCTACCAGGAATGAGGGATCATTTCATTTTCAGCTCCAACGTGTGTCTTACAAGGTTCTCCATTGCATATTGTGACCATGTAAAACAAAGGAAATTGGGGGAGATAACTATTATCTTGTTAACATGTCAAATAAAAAGTTAAATTCCGGCACACTTTCAGTACTTTTTTTACATTTTAGCTGAAAATCCTTGAAGAATCAAGAATGAAAATGTCCTGAAATAAACCAACATGGGCATGTTGGACTGCTAAAATTTAAATTAGATGCTCATTATGGGTTGAGAAAAAAAATCCTTCCTAATAGGCCCACACTCTTATAATACTATCTCGCAAATGCACAAAACACAGAAGAGACACTTATGATAGACTATCAGCACCAAATTAAAAAGAGCACCTTTATCCTTGGTTTGATGTGTTTGCTTGAACGGATTTTTTAAATAAACCGAAGTGACATTTCGAAGACACCTGGTTTTCACAGGACAGTGACAATATTCAAAGGAGATTAAAAACCGTTATACAAATAAATGAAAAGCCATTTCTGTCCAGCGAGCAAACTTTTTACTTTGTATCTTATTCACTTTCTGTCTCAGTCACTCAATGCACAAAGACAACAGGACAACACTATTACACACTTAACTCTAGCACAGGGTAATCCATTTGACCAAGATGGCTGCTTGAATTCCATTCTTTTCACTTAAAAACAGGCAAGTCCTAACCAAATAACCTTAAAAAGCTGCCAAAAATGCAGACTCTGAGCAGATGGGGCTTTAGGTAAGTTCAAGGCACCTCCCTTAAAATGCCCTTCCTAAACTTTCCAAAGGGCTCCCTTCTTTGAAAGGAAGGCAGGGGATCCTACTGGCTCCAACTGCAAAGCCTCACCAGCTACCTGTTATCCATGTTGAGTTTTTTCTCTTCAACAAAACAGGGTAAAAAGTTTAGTCAAGAATCTTGTCTGTGCCATTTTGTTGAACAGATACGTGGCGCCAATAGGAAAACCAACCAATCAGAAACACTCATTCTACTTGAGCATCCTGTTGTATTGTGCTTTGTATTTATCTAAAGGAAGCCACGTCACATGTCTGTCCTCACAACTTTGCATGTCGATGGTTTGTTCAGTTAGTTACTAGTTAATAGTTGCTGGGAAAGTCTCAGATCCTTCACATAAGATTTATTAAATAAAGATCATAATGTGCTAGATTTTCAGATTCATCCCCTTCCCAATTTCTTCATCAAATGAACTGTGGCTTGTTCATATGCAGCCGCATCTTGGAATGGTTTGAATAATTTGGCACTTCATGTCTTCTTCCCAACTGGCGACATCAGCCAGTTTGTCTCCACAAACAGCTGTGGAGCAGATTTCAGAACAACATTGGAAAAAGAGTAACACTGTTTATTAAAATACATTAAATACTGATACTGTAACATACAGGGAAAAGTCTGGCTTTTTTTCTTTACGATAATAAGTCACTGTATCCGACATATTATAAAAATATACTATGTCATATTTCAATTTTTTTTACAATTTGAAGGCAATTTAATACACATACCCATAAATATCTATACAACTTGGTAAAAGAACTGGCTTACCTTTTTCTTTATTTTACAAAAAT